CAGTCACAGCGAGGGATTTTCTCCATCTGGGGTTTGATTTGAAGGAGTTTCGGAGTTTTTTTTGTTTTCAACCAAAGCAAGGATTTTCTAAATTTTGGAATATCAGTCTGTCAGTAAAGATTTCTTCTGGGAACAACTCTTAAGGTTAGGATGGTGTTGTGTGAGTGATGCTGTCAGGATGATGGAGGACAGGGGATTTTGGGCTAATACACAACAGTGTGACCTTCAGTAGACTTTGAATTCCTGCTTTCAGCTCATGATATAACATTTGTCACATATTTTTTCACACTCCCTCCATCATTTAATATGTGAATGAATTGTAGCATTCAAGATTAGATATTTGAACAAGTTTTACAAGCTCTCTAAAGAAGAAACATTTTATAATGTAACAATAATAATATTACTTTTTTTGTTGCAATTTTTAACACCGTGTGTAAACAGCATATTGGAGGAAAATGCCAAGTTTCCAAGTGTTACCTGTTGCTTCTGTGTTTTGCCAGACTGAAGATGTCTTTAAAGAGGCGCCTGCTGTCCATGTTGTTGTGCTGTGTTTACTGCGTGGCCTCGCTCTTCTGCCTCCATCCAAACCGCAACAACTGCTTCTCTGCCGGAGCTCGGTAAGTCTGCGTTTTCATATAGAATCTATATGAAAACGCTGTTACTCCGCTGTTTTTCATCTATATTATAGATGAAAAACAGCGGAGTAACCTCATACATATTTTTTTAAATAATGTTTTTAATCATGTTTATGGCTTTACAACAACCACACAGTAGCTAAATGACAGGAAATGAGGGAGAGGAATGCAATTAAAAGTTCAAGCTTTACATATTAATCATTATGTCAAAGGGTTTTGCTTAATCTTTGATTCACCCCTCATAGCCTGTGCTAGAAGCAGCTAAGCTGTAGGCTCAGTTTCTAATCCAGACTAATCTCTAAAGAAACACACAAAAAAGTACATAAGTAATCTTCACTCCACTGTGGGTCTGAATAAAATAGTTGCTTAAGCTATAAACTGCCTTCATGCTGGACTGCTAGAGGAAGAGTGGGGGTGGGGTGGGGATAAGGCAAAGGAAAGACAAAGACGCTTGGTGGTCCGCAGGATTGCATCAGTGAGTATCCATAAAACATACACTCACTGTTTACTCACTGCTCATCACTGCAAATATTTGATCGCCCAATCACATAGTAGAAGCATTCTCCACACAGTAAAATGGAGACAAAAGGTGATTTAAGTCACTCTGAAGGTGAATGATATGGTTGCTGCTGTCAGACTATTTCAGAAACTACTGATCCACTGGGATTTTAACTCAAAGCCGTGTCTAGACTTTACAGAAAATGGTCTGAAAAAGCAGGGGTAAATGCCTTGTTGATATCAGACATTAGAGGAAAAGGCCAGACTGCTACAAGCTGATTGGGAGGCAACAGTAACTTGAATAACCACTCATCACAACAAAGGTTCGCAGAGCATCCCGAAAGGCACAACACTTTGAATCTTGAAGCAGCAGAAGATGAAAAATGTTGCCTGGTCTGATGAGTCTAAATATCTGTGACATTCAGATGGTATCGTTAGAATTTTGTTAACAACAACTGTGCTCAATCATCCAGGTAAGGAAATCACAAAAAGTTGATTCTGTTGATCTGGACGTAGCGGTTTCAGTGGGAAAACGTTTCGTCACTCATCCAAGTGACTTCTTCAGTCTCTGCTGACTGCAGGTTTCCTTATAAACAGTACATTTGCATAATGACTGAAACTAGCCCACTGACTAACAATGCACTGTGAGGTCAGTTTCATGATCATTAATATGCAAATTGTAAACCGTGTTTTATACATCGAGGAAGCCAAACAACCTCTGGCTAAGCGGATAGCAGAACACAGAAGAGCTACCTCGTCAGGCCAGGACTCTGCAGTCTATTTACATCTGCAGGGCAGTGGACACTCTTTCAGTGGTGAGGATGTACACATCCTGGACAGGGAGGAACGCTGGTTTGAGCAGAGAGTCAAGGAGGCCATTTACGTGAAAAGGGAAAGACCATCTCTGAATCGAGGAGGGGGCCAAAGGGTACATCTTTCACCATCCTACAATGGTGTGATTGCAGCCAACTCTCTGTGAATGGTACTCATGACTACTGATCAGTGGTCACTGGTCATGACAATTTGTATATCTATTTAAAAATCCCACAGATGTTCAGATGGTAGATCTGAAAGAGCAGCACAGGTCACCTGTATGTACGACGTAGTGTTAAAGAAGTGAATCTAGACTAAATTTTGGAGCGATTCTCTCTCCATCCTGTTTTTTTTTTTTTTCAAACTCAGTCTTTTCTCCTTTAGGAATCTGGTGTCAGTTGTCCAACAGCTTTACCAACGAGCCATTCGGCTGCTGCGCACCACTCTGTGATTCCACACCACTTCCTGTGCCTGAACAAGTAAGGCTGGATTTCATCAAGAATGCCCTCTAGAAGAAGAAACAGAGGAAATGCATCCCTAAACGTTCGGACTGCAGCGTTTCCATCCACTCAGTTTCCCTTGAATTTGGCTCCAACTGCCCATTTTTGTTTATTATTGATATTTTCCAACTATAGTTTAAATGTAGAGGAGAAGAATACCTAGCCAATGTCTATTTTTCTACTGATGAAGTTTAGCATTGTGGATATTTGCTGTTTGACATGTGAGTGATGTGGAAAGGACATCAGCAGTCCTCTTTTAAAAGCATTTAAGGGGTTTACTGCAGTTTTTTTTATTTACATAAAAAAAGCTGGGTAGCCGAAAATTTGCTGATGTTTGAAATGCAAGCACAAACTTTCTTTCCTCTGCTAATAACTACCAATGAGCTGTTTTTGTGTTCTGTTTCTACTGTATCCTGTGATGTAAGTGCTGTCTTCACAGGTTCAAAATGCAGGAAAATCCACAAGAAACAGAGGAGCATGATGCTCCCGAAAAGGAAAGAGAATGATAAAAACAAGCCAGTAGATCATAATCAAAACCCAGTGAATGCAACCTGGACTAACTACTAAAGCTTAAACACTGCAGTAACACTTGGCTCATTCATTGCTAATATGTGCCACGGTTGTACAAGAAACATAAGCCTTAGACATGTTAGCTGAACCATGTTGCCCTCATGCCCTTTACTCCTATTACATAAGTGAAACTGTAGCTCAACATTTCATCATATGAAGAATTTCAGGTGTCATATTTTGAAAGGTAATGTTATTTGTGCACAGCATTTTTATTTGTGTACCTGATGGAAGTATGTTTTCATGCTGTGCAGCTACCTGATGAGCAACTCTCAGCACCAAACAGATGCTGTTTAAGGGGGGGGGTTACTTTTTTTAAATGCTAAAGTAATGGGAGTGAATTTATTTTTGTAACACTTGCAGGTAGTGAAGGTAGTTAGGTTGCATGGGTAAGTTTAAATACAACGGGTCAACCATGCAAACCAACAGCCATTAGACAGTGCACAAGAGAGGTGAGGAAGAGAGCACAGGCAGAGTCGGGGAGGTGGGCGTAGATGACTGTCAGGGGTGATTTTTGGCTAAAGGATAGCAAAAAGAGTGAAAGGGAAGGTTTACAAGATGGTAGTGAGGCCTACTCTGATGTACAGTTTTGAAATGGTAGCACTGCCGGGAGGCAGAGCTGAAGATGGGTGGCTGTAGCTCAGGAGGTAGAGCAGGTCACCTACTGATCGGAAGGTTGGTGGTTCGATCCCTGGCTCCTCCAGTCTGCGTGTCAAGTATCCTTGGGCAAGATACTAACCCCAACTTGCTCTCCGATGCGTCCATCGGAGTGTGAATGTAGTTAGAAAGCACTAAGTGTAGATAAAGTGCTTGTGAGAATGGGTGTGATTGGGTGAATGAGGCATGTTGTATAGAGCGCTTTGAGTACTCCGGGAGAGTAGAAAAGCGCTATATAAGAATCACTCAGTTACCAAGATTTACATCAGGAATGACAGGATTAGAAATGAGTAAATCAGAGGGACAGCTCCGACAAAGTTACAAAGAGAAGGCTGAGATGGTTTGGACATGTACAGAGGAGGGACAGTGCAAGTACTGGACAAAGGATGTTAAATATGGAGCTGCCAGGCAGGAGGGAAATAAGACTGCAGAGGAGGTAGTGAAGGCGGACGTGTAGATTGGCATGTAGGTTGGCATCACAGACGAGGATATGGATAGGGTGAGATCGGGGCAGATGATCTGATATGTCAACCTCAAGCTGCTTCTTCTGGAGCAGCCAGAAGAAGAAGAAAACAAACACAGTTAGGTGTGAAAGAATCCAACAGGAAATCATAATAAAATAAGAAAGAAAACCTTCCATCATATGTAAAATCAATTTCATTAAGAAATCGGAAAAAAATAAAAACTTGGGTTGTTTCAAGTTGCCGATTTTATGTTTTATTGAGAATGGAGTCTCTCATCTGTTGCAAACACGCAAGAAAAAAAATGCTGAATATGTGTTGCCATACAACTGAGAGCACAAAGATAAATGAGTAAAGGTTCATTAAAGAAATATGATGATGGAAACGCTAGGGTGTGATTAAATATATCACAGTTTGAATGCTGTGGATGGATTTTAATTTAATGTGCTACCTGAAAAGATATTAGAAAACTATGTACTTTTCTTACTTTTGTATGACTGCGTGTTTCACACTGTTCAGGGGAAGACCTGTTCCAACTCCAATAAAACAAATTCAGCTTTCCTGAAGATCTATCAGCTGTGGTGGTTAATTATATATTTGTATAGATGAACACCCAATAAACATTTAGAAATAAGTAAACCATCAGTAGCCTAGCTAAATCACTAGTTTAAAATTGTTTATTCCATCAAACTTTATTTTAAGATCACTGTTTTCATTTTTAGCCACCTGAAATTACATTTAGCATTACTTTGTTTATTTATGTTTTATTTGTGTAAACACTGCTTTAACCGTAACGACATAAATTACATTGCTTGATTACTTTAGTTAGACAAAAGGCGTTTTATTTTGAAAGTGTTAACGGAAATCCTGTTTTTACAAATTCTGCCACACGCTAGCGTAAATGGGAAGCTAACGAAAGGTGAGAAGTTTTCCGCCGGCATTTTATTAAAGTCAATGCATAGTTATTCTCTGACACATGGGAAACCAAGCTGCATAGAAGGTCGCGGACTTTATCTACAGCACAGGTACGTTCAGTTTGACAGTAACTGGTTGCCAGTTGGTAAATTTGCTAACAGACCGGCTAGTAATTTTTTAGAAGTAGCATTTAGCCTAGCAGCAGCCATCTGTTTCGAGGCGGAACGCTGGAAGCAGGTGGGCGATCATCTCTGTAAAAAAAAAAAAAAAGACCATTTTATAAAATGATTAAAACTGTATTATATCATCATATGATTTAGATTTCATTAATAAAATAGCTTCTTTGTCATTCTATGACGAGTAATAAAAATAAATAACTTAATTTATTTCTCTTGGCACTGTTGCTATCGGTAACGCATTCCGTGCCCGCCTCTTGCACCCCAGCCAATCAAGACGCCGAAAATGTTATTGACTTTATTATGAGCCAATAGTAGGGTCACAACAAATATGACAGCTCTCCTCACCGTGTTCGATACTGCTGGGCGTCTCTTTCCGGCGCAGTATGCTGGGATGCTGATGCTGAGGCACTTCGTTGATCTGTAGCATCCTCTTTTACCTCAATGTTTGTCGACATGTTGTATTGTCTGAGGTGGCAGCACTGCGTTGACCTCTGTCTGGGTGGTCTTCTTCTATTTTTAGCGGGGCTGCAGCAGGTGGAAGCAGCTGCCGCCGCCACGGAGATGGCCAACTTGAACTGGAAGCCGTTTATCTATGGAGGGATGGCCTCGATTGTCGCAGAATTCGGTACGTGGTGCGCCGCAATATCCACACATTGACCATCAGGTGTAATTTTGGTTTTTTTTGTATTTTGTATTTTTTTTTGGGAGTCGGGGGTATATGCTTTAATGTAACACGAGTAGAGCGCGTTGTATGCAAATGGTTAACCGCCAGTATTGTAGGAAAATGCATCACTACAGATAACACTGGCTCCAAAAAGGGAAATGGTGCATGTAGCAGAGAAAATGTCAAAGCCATTTGGTGATAATTGTGTTCCCCATTCTGCAATTGAAGGTGTGTGGCATTCACAAAGTTCAGTCCAGATTGTTGAGTGCTGACAAAAGTCTGGTGTTTAACCTCAGTTTGTGTCTCTCACACAATCATCACATTCAAAATCATATTTTTTAGATTTTTTGCTCCATGCAAAAGCCCATTTAAATCACTCTTCATCAGCTACTCTTTGCTATTTAATCCTATTGTCTACTATTTGTATATTTTGTTCCGGTACAGTTGGTGTGGAGCATCTCCAATTTCATTGTACATGTACAGTGACAATAAAGGGCTATTCTATTATTTTTTTCCCCAGAGAATATGAGGCAAAATTAAAACATTTCATCTGTTGCTCTATTTAGAGTCTTAAAGAATGAAGAAAAATACATTTTCAGTGTTTGAATACATGTTGCTTAGAATTAGGCTGTAAAACTAATAACACAAAGACATTCTAAGAGCAAGTAGCCAGTAGCAAAAGCCATGGAGGCATTCAAACTTAAATTTTAACAACACTATTCTTTCGCTTAAGTGTCTCCATACAAGTTCAGATTTACTCTCTGCTCGGTTCTGGCAGGGTTAGTCCATTTTACATGGACCTGTTTGTTTATTTTTTTGCAACTGAATGAGAAGTTCTGCAACTATAAAAGACATGCTTCTTCTTTTAATATAAACAATAAGTAAATGTGTAATTCTGTTGAATAATCTGTGGTTTGAGTGCTGATTAAAGTAACTGTTAATAATAGTTTTGTCATAATCAATTTGTAATTTTGAGGCGTTCATTTCAGACTAATCTTTTTTTGTTTGTTTGTTGTTGTTTTTTAAACACCAAAAATAAACTTTTTCTGGAAGTTATGCTTCTACCACTGTCTTTCCTCTTGTAGAACTCATCTATTGACTTCAGTAGAGGATTTCTCTTTTAACATATTTGATGTTTACTGTGTATGATATGAACATAGAGCTACATAATATACATTTGTTTCTGTATTCTGAGTCTTTTTAAAATAATAAAATAAATAAAATAAAATAATAAACCACATAAAATGTGTTTTTAATCCCTATTTATCATTATTTTTCATTCTCAGGCACATTTCCCATTGACCTTACTAAGACCAGACTACAGGTCCAAGGTCAGTCTCAGTACACAGAGGTGCGCTACAGAGGCATGTTCCATGCCCTGTTCAGGATCGGGAAGGAGGAGGGCATCCGGGCGCTCTACTCTGGGTATGGAATATTATCTTTTAGGCCACTCATTTGATCTGCATGTCATAGTTTCACTGTAGAAGGGTTTTTCGTGATGCATCTCTCTAGTTTACATGAATGCTATTGCTTGATCAAGATTAAAAATTCCTGTCTTTGCTTAATACGTTTTTGTTTTCTGACTCAGCTGAGCCTTTGTAGGCTGACTGTGCACATAAGCAGTGTTGGCAAAGAGCCTGTGTTGCTTTACCTAACGGATGTCTTAGCATTTTCTGTATTTTTTGGGCCATTTGATGTACAGAAAAGTCTTAATAAATTTAACTCTGTAGCAACAATGTTAAATAATCTGGTTTATATCCCTTTGGTGGAATGCCAAAAGCATTGATTGGCTCCATCATTTCTTATATGTAGGAAAGTCCATTTGCATTTAATATTTTCGCTAATGTTATAAATAATTCTGCTATCTAACTGTCTACATTGCTTGTGCTGCAGAGAAGCGACTGCCCCCCTCGCCAGTGTTTTTCATTTGAGCTTTACTGAGAGCTAATACACTTTGAAATAAGACTCCGCTGTAAGTTTAAGTGGGGGTTATTTGAATAAAGATTTCCTTAGAATTTCAGTCCTACCAGCTCTTATTTCCAGGGCGTGTGCATACACTCCCAGGTAAATTATTGTTCCTAGAAGACTGGGAGATCTCATTTTCTTTTCTCTCCTTGTGCAGTCAAATAAATAGTCTTACTTGCTACTCACTTCTGATATCATATATGGGTGACGCAGGCTGCTGCTGGCTGCTGCTGGCTGCTCTGTTAAAGCAGTTTAGTATTCTATTTTAGCTTCATGATATTTTGTGTAAGGGGGGTAGAAGGGAGTCGGGTCACGTATGGTTAGAGTGGTCAGCAGCTTGGGTTAGTCGGGATATGAACTTCAGTAAATATGAATGCACTCCACTGGTTAAAAATAAACTCACCACTGTCAGTGTTTCTCACATTGAAGTTTCAAAGTGTTATTGTCATATGCACAAAATATCTGCATATAACAAAATATTTCCCAACATGTTTCCCTGTACAACTAAATTTTTCCTTTGCTGTCCACAACAGATGCAAAAAATGCTCATATAAAATAGTGAAATAGAATAAGTGATCATTTAAAGGAATAATAAAGCATATGAGAAATACAGTAAAAATATATAATATGCAAAAAAATATAACTATATGAGCTGCAAGGGGTCTGTACACAAGGCTATGCAATAAATGAATTTGAATTTCAGCCTAAACAATATTTGTGCTGCTTCTACTTTGAAATAATTTTCTCTTTTGGCCTTCAACACATCTCTTTCCTTGATTTTTACCCCTTAATAAAAATCCCTGCCATGCTGCAGTATGTTTGGTTTAGTTTATTTAACTTTTGTTAGGTAAGGTATAATAAAAGTTAAAGAAAGATGAAGATAAAATATTTTATTTGCCATTTGTACACATGCACGAGGTCCGGGTTCATAGGAAATCTAGTTAAACAACTCTTTTCTTATTTAATAAATCCCTTCCTTTTGAGTGATTGTGATGAATATCTATAGTCTTACTGACCAAAAAACACATAATTAAGCAACCCTGTGGTCACATTTGTGACTCCTTTCTTTGCACACATTTTCTTAAATGAGTTATTGAATGACACAGTTAATAAATTCTCCAGTGGAAATATTTGTGAGGTACTTTGTGGCCATAAATACCTGAACAATGCAATCAGCTGTCTCTCGCCCTGTGGATGAACTCCAACGCCACTATCTTGGATTGGAGCTGGTGGAAGGTCAGTAATATCCTGGATTGCCAGAGTAGCTAGCTGGCGAGCTGTTAGGGAAACCACAAGGTGGGAAAATTAATAATATACTTGGGTTGGCTGCCCAAGAAAAGCCTAAAGTCCTCTGAGTTCTCTAAATTATGCCTCCTTGTCTCTTCTGTCCTCTATCCTCCTGCCAGTGACCAGGAAATCGGCCTTTTTCCACCACACTGAAAAATGTTTGAATTCTTAAAATTCGTGTGGAGAGCATAGAGAACAGGCATACAGGGGAAGCTGCTAATCAGACTTTTTGCTCTTGTGTGTATGATTTCACATTTGGTCTTGTTGCACCCTTCTCAATTTAACTAAGTCCTTTATTGTACCCTGTCATGAGCGCTGTTACACCTGAGATCGTAGCATACATCAGTAAGTGGGCAGTAACAAACCAATTTATGATGAAGCTGCACCACATGCCCTCTTTAACTGAGGCGCAGAGGCAAATATGTTCTCATTCTGTTAAATTCATATTGCCTCCACTCCTCTGCTCACATTTCTCGTGGGTGGAATAAGACACAAGTTGAGGATGTTGCAGTCTGAGAAAAGCAAAAAGTGTGGGAATCATTCACTTCTCATTTATCAGCCACATCTTCAGCCCTTTGGTACTCACCTTCTGAAGGAGAAAAGCTGGATGGGTGTTCACCATGTGGTTTTTCTTAACTGTTTGCAATCATCAGAACAAATAGAGTTTAGAATGTGCCACAGCAACAACTTCATGACAAGTAAAGGCTGATTATTTGAACATGATAAGACACTGTGAATACTCTGTTACATTTACTGATGTGGGGAGGGAAAAAATTGAACATTAGTCTGGAGCCTTGATGTGCTCTACGATATGCAGTAATAAAGACTGAACACAGAGCTGCTACACTTTGTGGGCGGCTGAGCTGAATTCAGCTGAAAGCCCCGTGGGGAAAGTAATGAAATCCATTCTGAAAAAGATTAAAAACAAGCTTCTCTTTGTTTTTAGAGCATTCAGGTGTTTTCAGAGCACTTTCTAAAATCCACTTTCTGTGTAACGAACAATAGCTTGAATTTCACAATCCTTAATAAGGTCAAAATGGTATTGACTTGCATTCATAGCCACGCAAGTACGTTCTTGATATATACTCGCTTTAGGAACTGACTTGAATCAAACATTTTTTTTTTAATCTTCTCCTCACAGAATTTCCCCGGCTCTTTTGAGACAGGCTTCTTACGGGACAATCAAGATAGGAACCTACAATTCTCTGAAGAGGCTATTTGTCAGTCAGCCAGAAGGTTGGTATCACTATTTCTAACTCTAATATCTTTTTTTGTGTCCTTTTACTAAGTTCTCCTTAAAAGGCTAATTTTAGACTGTCTTTAATTCACAGGGTTTCATTAGTTAGTTACACAGAACCCAGCTGAAAACTTGATAGTATTCTCACATTTATTCTAATCAGCTAAACCAGACAACTGGCCAACCATGTAGGTGGCATGAAATTTTGAATAACAATTATTCTGTCCTCACAGGAAACTGATGCAATGTCCTTTAACATGCATTTGATTTGTAAGATTTTAGTTTGGGCTCAGCCAAAACCAGAGATTACAGTAAGCAAATGCTTTTTAAGCTATCTTGGATCTTCCATAATAAAAACAGAACGGACAGAGAGTCATTTTCTTACATTTGCATTTTAGCTGGTTAACTGATGCTGCTATTCAGAGTCATATCTTTGACCCCTTTTAACATAAGAAATGGAAAAACTATGTAAAGCATTTTAGTTAATGTGTTAATATAAAGACACTGGGCTGTGCAATAAATAGAACTGTGACTTTTTGGGAGGGGAATAAAAAAGAAAACCCAAGCAGTTATGTGGCACTTTGGTCATCTCTTTACACCAGGGGTGGGCAACTCCAGGCCTTGAGGGCTGGTGTCCTGCAGGTTTTAGATGTGTCCTTGATCCAACACAGCTGATTCAAATGGCTAAATTGACTCCTCACCATGTCTTGTAGTTCTCCAGAGGCCTGGTAAGAACTAATCATGTGATTCAGGTGTTTTGACCCAGGGTGAGATCTAAAACCTGCAGGACACCAGCCCTCGAGGCCTGGAGTTGCCCACTCCTGCTTTACACAGAGGTGCATTTGTATTGTGACGTCTGTTGTGATTTTTTTTTTTTCTAAATTTCTCCAAATATCTAAACACCCTCCAAACTGTACTAATGAGAAAGTCTAAAACTACCACTGAAACAATAGAAAACTGAAACTAAACATTTTCAAATGATTAAAAACTGAACACAGACAAGTAAACTAACTGAAAATAAAGTGAAATAAAAACAAAAAGTCTAAATCTGGGACTGTTGTGGAGGCTAAAAAGCTGAACTGGGTTCTGTTTATGGTGCAGACCTCCACAACAGTTCCCCCTTCTTATGTTACCCCCCCCCTGCTGTAAAGGGTTTTCTTTTTTGTTGTTGTTGTTTTTTTTGTTTTGTTTTTTAAAGGGCCATCTTCCATTCAGCATACCCAGTAATGATGACTAAATGGATATTTCGGCTGCTCCTTTTCTACAAGGATTCATCATAACAAGTAGCTCATGGTTTGATCTGGCAGAGTTTTGAGCCCGATGCCCTTTCTGACACCCCTCCAAAGGGGATTTGTGTTTCCAACTGGAATCAAATCACCGTTGGAATACTTGAAGTAATATTGCATTGCATCTTGAGGATCAGTAAGCTTACAAAATGAACTCCAAATGGTTTAAACATACTATGTTATTGGCTTATATAGTACAGGAGAGGAAAGGGATCTGTCACAGAGGTAAAGGCCAAACATAGATGAGGTTGAAAAAGAGATGCTCCAGAAAAAACTGTTTTTAAACAGACTCCTTTTGCTTATTTTCTGCTCACGCAGGTTCTGTGCTGGATTTTATCAGCACAGTTAAAATGTAGGCAGCTCTGCATATGCACAGCAACAGGGAACCAAGTAAGGCAAAGATAATGTGTTACAACTACACTCATTAAGATGTTTGATCATTTTTTCCCAGCAACGGCATCATTATTATTGACGATTCTTCTTCTTCTTCGTTGTCGTCTTTCTCGTCTTCTTCTTCGCTAGTATTCACTGTCTGACAATATCTAATTTAGTGGTGCGGGCACGGATGTAACAGAGGTTTGTGGCATTAGCACTAGAAGCATGGTGGAATTAGACAGGAGAAAGGGGAAAAGATTAATATTGCTGTTTATTTATTTTTTAAATGGTAAAAACTCTGCTACGCAAGGCGAGCGCTTTACAAGCCTGCCGTGATCTTTAAGGCGAACTTTGAAGCTCAGTTAAACAGTCCAGAGTGAATACCAATAAATGTCCTTCTCTAATGGCTCCCTGAGACACAACAGCCATTTCTTCTTTCTTGCCAAGTGTTGAGTTGATCATTAAGATACACTGACATTGAACAGGAATGGAGCATAACCAAAGCTGCAGTGCACTGATTTACCTCAATTTGACTTCTAGCCAGTATTTTTTATTATTTTTTTATTACTATGCAAGTCATATTTCTAGGACAGCAAACCAAACAGCAGAATATCAGAGTCATTTAACATTGTAGTGTGGAATAATTAACACAAAATTCGGCTTCTAAAATGCTCTTGGCCTTCGATAAATCTGGGGTTGGTGCAGTTTCATAACTATAAAAGTCTCCATGGCAGGTGAACCAAAAATTGATTGTGCATGACCGTGCTTCTCTTGCTTTTCATTTTTTCATGCTCATTCTTTTTCTTTCTGTTTGCAATCAATGCTAGTTTTGTGCATCAAACATGAAAACCCCTTTGCAAATCTTTTCTTCCTTGTTTGGATTACAAAATATTGGGTGTTGTGTTGTCACTTGTTTGAGATTCAGTGGATGAAAAGAGGTTAATGATGTTTGTATGTTTGTTGGAAATGGTTGAAAGTAAAGCAGTTATATGATAATTTGCCCCTGGAAATGAATAAAATACATTCACCTTAGCTGAGCGGATGTCCTTTATTTGTTAAAAATCAAAATCAGCCTTGATAAAGTAAACAATGTAAGAGAAAATGCAAACACACCAAGGTCCCAACATTTTACCCAGGTTAAGTTGGACATTTCTTTTTTCCAACATATTTCCTCTGAATAGAGCGACAATACAACACCTGTGTTGACCCATCTGGAAGTGAGTGAGTTAACATCCCGACAGTAATTTGCAAGCTAAACAACAGGCAAAGTGCGTCCAGGAAGGAAGGAAGGAAGGGACAGAAAGATGAGTGGGGATGGAAAAGGCAGGAAACTATGAAAGAGGCTGTTTTGATACTGACACTCTGATAAGCTTTTATCCATTTGTCACACATATATTTGATATTAAGTGTGCACAGCACAAAATTGCATAATTTGTTTGTGCCAGAAAAGGAAAGTGATGTTGTTTGAGACTGAAATTGGCTTCCTTTTTATATACTGTGGTATGCAAAAGTTTGGGCACCCCTGATAATTTTCATGTTTTTCCTTCATAAATCATTGGTTGTTTGGATCAGCAATTTCATTTAAATATATCTTATAGCAGACAAACACAATGATATTTGAGAAGTGAAATGAAGTCTATAGGAGTTACAGAAAGTGTGCAATAGTTACTTAAACTAAATTAGGCAGGTGCATAAATTTGGGAACCCTTGTTGTTTTATTGATTTGAATAGCTTTAGCACTAATTATTGAAACATAAAATTTGTTTGGTAAGCTCATTGACCCTTGACCTACATACACAGGTAAATCCAGTCACGAGAAAGGGTATTTAGGGTGGCCAATTGCAAGTTTTTCTCCTCTTTGCATCTTGACAGTGGCTACATGGGAGCCTCAAAACAACTCTCAAAGAGATTGTTCAACATCATGGTTTAGGGGAAGTATACAAAAAACTATCTCGGTGATTTCAGCTGTCAGTTTCCACTGTGAGGAACATAGTGAGGAAATGGAAGACCACATGGACAATTGTAATTAAGGCTGGAAGTGACAGGTCAAGGAAAATCTTAGATAAGCAGAGGGAAAGGATGGTGAGAACAGTCAACGCACACACCAGCTCCAAAGACCTACAACATCATCTTCCTGCAGATGGTGTCACTGTCCATCATTCAACTATTCAGCGCACTTTGCACAAGGAGATGCTGTATGGGAGACGAATGCAGGAGGAACAAGTACAATGTTCTGGAATGGCCATCTCCGTCCCCAGACCTGAATATTATTGAAAATCTATGGTGTGACTTAAAGCGGGCTGTCCATGCTCTGAAACCATCAAACCCGACTGAACTGGAGATGTTTTGTAAAGACAAAAGGTCCAAAATACCTTCAACCAGAATCCAGACTCTCATTGGAAGCTATAAGAAGTGTTTGGAGGTGTTATTTCTGTAAAAGGAGGATCTACTAAATATTGATGTAATTTTTCTGTTGGGGTGTCCAAATTTATGCACCTGCCTAATTTAGTTTAAGTAACTGTCATCCAAAGACATAAGTGGGGGGGGGAGGCACCATCCCAGCCACCTTGGCAATAGTTGTTGTGGTTTGATGCTAAATAATTTTTAAAGTCAGTATAAAATATAATAAAATTGAATTTAGATAGCATTTGTCAGCACACGTGCCAGCTTGTACTTGCACTGACCTTATTTGAGACCACAAATCACAGGGAAATGTGTACATTTACGTCCTTAACAAGCAACACAGCGATTACATTGTTGTTGAAATGTCAGATTTCTATTCCTTGATCCAGTGTAGACACCACATTGGGTTACTACAAATGAGATCAACCATCTGAGTGTTTTTAAGCCACTATGCACAATGTAGATTATAGCAAATATGAGAAAATTAGATAAGCCAAACAATGGTTACGCCTTTGATTTTCTCCCTCTCTCTTCTCTTAAAACTGACTGTGAAGTACTGTGTGCTTGATAAGAGCTCTGAATAGGAATCTGTAATTTCAACTTGGTGCCTTTTAGCATATTTTTAACCTTTCCACCTTCCAGAAATAGCTATCCTAATTTTGTAGCTTTTACTCAAAACAAAGAAGACTTCATTTCAGAAAGGCTCTAGTTAAGAGACAGGCTAACAGCTAATGTTTATTTTGAGGCTAATAATGATTTCTGTGGAGTTCAAATGATTCCAGTGTATCATTTGCTACTGTTGATACACAATATTCTGTAGTATGCATTTAAAGAGAAAAATAGTCAGAGGTTGGGTAGGTTATCACCTACTAGCAAAATATTTTACAAGTTAGTTAGCAACTTGCCATTAAGG